TAACTGAGAGTCAAGGCGGCAAAGATACACACGTGGAGTACCAATCTCTCTTAAGGGGATGTCCAAGCCAGAACGCTTTGTCTTATTCTGGCCGTCGTGATTTCACATCTTAAGTAGAGCCGCTGAATATTCGTCAGTCATAAACCCATATGAGTTGGTCACAATAAGCCTCAGGACATGTTCAACTGAGCCTTTTCACTATCTCAGCCATCTCGCAGTACGTGGCGAGCTATACAACCCTCCGCACGCCAAGCTAATCTTGCTTTTCCGTATTCCCGTTTCTTTTTTTTTCCAGTGCGCAAATTCAGCCAAAAACATCATTCACTCATCAAATGGTCCCTTCCCAATGCTGCGCCCGCAAACACTTTATGCCTTGAGGATCTTGGCCAGCTCGGCGACGATGGCGTCACCGACCTCCTTGGTGCCGGCGTTGCCGCCGAGGTCCTTCGTGCGCAGACCGTTGTCGATGACGGCCTTGACGGCGTCCTCGACGGCCTGAGCCTCCTTGGGCAGGTTGAGGGAGTAGCGGAGCATCATGGCGACGGAGAGGATGGTGCCGATGGGGTTGACGACGCCCTGGCCGGAGATATCAGGGGCAGAGCCTGTGAACTGTATTAGCACGCTTCAACCGGAGAGGGGTGTCAGGAGAAACATACCGTGGATGGGCTCGTAGATGCCGTTGCACTTGCCCTTGCCGTCAGGGATGCCGCTCAAGCTGGCACTGGGGAGCAGACCGATGCTGCCGGGGATGACGCTGGCCTCGTCGGAGATGATGTCGCCGAACAGGTTGCTCGTGACGACGACGCCGTTCAGCGCGCGGGGGTTCTTGACGAGGATCATGGCGGCGGAGTCGATGAGCTGGTGCTCGATCTTGAGCTGGGGGAACTCCTTCTCGAAGAGCTCGGTGATGACCTTGCGCCACAGACGGCTGGTGGCCAGAACGTTGGCCTTGTCCAAGCTCCAGACGGTCTTCTCGCCGCGGGCGATGGCGAGGAAGCCGGCCAGGCGGCCGATGCGCTCGACCTCCTCACGGGAGTAGGGCTCCGAGTCCCAGGCCTTGCCGTCGCCGGTGTCCTCCTTGCGCTCGCCAAAGTAGATGCCGCCCGTCAGCTCGCGGACGATGACCATGTCGGTGCCGCGGCAGACGTCGGCCTTGAGGGGGGAGAAGTCGACGAGGGCCTCGGAGGCGAAGCTGCAGGGGCGCAGGTTACCGTAGGTTCCCATCTCCTTGCGGAGCCTCAGGAGACCCTGCTCGGGGCGGACGGCGCCGGTGCCCCATTTCGGGCCGCCGATGGCGCCGAGGAGGACGGCGTCGGCGGAGTTGGCGGCGGCGAGGGCCTCGTCGGTGAGGGGGGAGCCGGTGGCGTCGATGGAGGCCTGGTGGGCGAGTGGTTAGATTGCCGTTGTGGGATTGAGCAGCGGGCGGGACCGGAGGAGACTTACACCACCCAGGAGGTGGTCCTGGAGGTTGAACTTGCCGGCGGAGGGGCTGCCGGACTCAATTGTCTTGAGGACCTGCAGGAGTTGGTCAGTCTCGCAGTGAGCGACGCGTCTGTCGGTTTGTGAGGCATACCTTGACAGCCTCAGCGACAACCTAGAACAGAGTTTCGTTAGCTACGTTCCCCGCCAAGCCGAAGCTTCTCCGTTGCGCGAGCTCACCTCGGGACCGCAGTGGTCACCAGCAAACACTACAATGTTGTGCGTCGCCATCTTGTCTGTTGTTGAAAATAGGAGGGGGTGTTGAAGGGGATTGAAGGAAAACGGAGGGGGTATCACGTTGCAATTGAAGCAGATGTGAAGAAGGAAAGGAGTAGGTTGAGCAGCAAGTCAGGTACGAAGGAAATGAGTCCGCTCCGGCGAACAGGTGAGCTGTTTGCCCCGCATCCCGCACAAGATTGAAAAAGTTAGGCCCAGTTCCAACCCCGCCTTCCGAAGTCGGAGCCGTAGCTTCACTGAGGTTCGCCCTGGAAACTGCCCTGGAGCCTGCGCCCCGCACTCGTCCAGCACCCCACGGAGCTGCACAGCGTTGTCGTTCGGCTTCCGTCGGCGCCGGTTCGTCCCGGCGCCCCAGTCTTCTTCCCCCTTCCGGTCGTCTCTCCGGCCACGATCCTCCCCTTTCGTATCTCTCGCTCGGGAAGATGCAGGCCGAGTGGTGTCACTCGCATTGCCGGCATTGGTGCCGTGCCGGTGAACACACCGGCTTTTCCGAGGCAAGGTCGTGCTTAGCGGGTTTCCCACCGCAATTATATTCATAGAACGAATTGGCCAGTATTAAACGGAAACTTGCGACAGTGAAGTCAATCGTTCGAGCAAACCGAATTGCAAGTATTCGTGCATCTGGACTGGTTCCTTGTCTGATTCAACTAGACACTGGGGTGCTCCACGTATGACTGCGGTTTATGCAGCGTCTAGGACAGAAGTGTGCTGTCGTTCACAAACGTCTCTGTTCTTAATCGCCAGTGTTACGGTATTCGGAAGCAACAAGATCTATTTGGCAATTTACTACAAGTTTGAAGTCGGGGGCGTATGTCAATCTGCGGGTACACTGGAGTGTAATACGCAGCTGTTTTGTTGATGCCGCTCGCCAACCAGAGCATTCTTCTCGGTCGCCTCTCATCTTTGGCAACTCTCTTAAAACCCTGGAATAGGCTCTTAATTATGCCCACGTGTCCATATCTGCCCCCGGACAGCTCTTTGGGTTGACATATAAATGTGCTGTTTTTCTGTGTTGCCTGCCGTTTCACACCCCAATTGATATAGGTGCGAAATACGTTTGATAATAAGTACCAAGGGCTGCACAAACCTGGAAGTCAAAGTTCGACGTGACATCAGAAGAAAGAACAGCATTTGGGCGCCGCTCGCTCAGTTACTCTACCTACACTACACAGGAATACTCCCTGGACGGACGGCGAGGGTAATTACCAGGGGCAAGACAAGGCAGAAAGCAACGCAACGTCTGATAATCGCATATGTGCTGAAGACAACACCAGCCGGCAAGACCGATGGCTTGCACGAAGACAAAGTTCCCGGACTGCTGTGACATTGTTGCCTAACGATCCCGTCAAGAAGAGGCACTGGATCGTATTTAGAGAAACCCTTGCTGAAACGAATCATTGACAGCTTCCACAGAGCATTAGAGTCAGCCTGGGGACGAGACCGAATCGCCCCTCTTACACGCGCCTCCAGCTATAAGAATGGCGTGTCCCCCTGAGTTCTATCTGGGAGCTGTCTCTTTACGCAATTGGACGCAACAGAGTTCCTTCCCTTGTAGTGAGACAACTTGTGGGCCACAGGATCTGCTTAATATCTCAACGGAACAGTCGCATACAATGCAATAGTCTTCAAAACGTCGAGTGTAAGAATACACCCGAAAGCATATCTGCGATACCCCAAGACCGGGGATACAGGAAGAAGCCATAAACAATTACGGCAATATGATGTAGCATACTTAGCACAGGAGCAACTAGGAACGCCGGCCAGATCCCGAATATAGACGATGATGATGTCTACGTTATATGACTACCAAGAGGCACCATCCCATTGTCAAGTTCTTAAATTTCGACACGTATGTAAGGTATATATAGGCTATTACATATCTCGAAGAACAAGACATATACATTATGTTTGAGTACCCGGTATCGATGGCAATCCTCTTGAACGCTCCCGTCTCATGCGCTCTGTGGAGTCTCGCGTTCGTTTAGAAAGAAACCCGTCGAGAATCTTTCCAGGCTAGTCGCAGGGCTCGATCTGCGTATAAAACTTCCATAACAAGCCCGCCTGAAGTCTGAATCGCCACGCAATTGGTCATGCTGTCTTCATCAATGTTCAAGGTGGGCAGTACAAATCCTCGGCGGTCAGGTTTTCGACAACACCATAATACCCTCAATCTACGTCTTGATCTACCCGCACACATTGCCCTTTCTCCCACTCCTGGTATCCGCTCCATATTCAGGCACAATACACACGGAGAAAGTATGCATGAACGAAGTGCCTATGCTTCAATAATCATCTTATTGCCAATCGCAAGCACGGTTTGGAGCACCTGTCTGTGACATCTCCTGACAGACCCATTCCAAAACCAAAAGAAATGGGTAAAGAACTGGCCTATTCTGTCGTGCGCTTGGAACTTGCCACGTCCATCCATTCCTCTTATACTTTCACTCACGACCTCCCCGTCTGGACGACCGACGTACTCAGCGAGGTCAACAATGGCGGTTGCTTCCCGGTTATAAATTGAGCAGGATCAACCCTTTCCTCACGCTTCGACAACAGATCCTGACTCTTTGCGATCATCTCGACGGCAGTAAAGATATAGCCTCACAATAGTGCGCTAGTTTTGTATCCCAGTTCAACCACAACTCACACCCTGAACCCCGCCTCCTACCAAAAACGGATGATACTCGACAAAATACAATGACGCTGCGGTACGAATACGCTCATGACAACAGAAGTGCAGAAAACCGTAAGAGCTTAAGATGGCGCCAGCAAGAAGATGGATAATAGAACAGCAAACGGAGGAATGTTTGGGGTTACCAGACGTTACCTACCGCTGGAGCTTTGATCTCACCTCGTTCAATTACGCAGAAGTCCATACTCCATCGTTGAATTGACAAATTAATGCCTGTGAAGTCATATATATATACGCACACTTCCCGGACGTGGATGTCAATTACAAGGTATGCGGGGCATCGCACACTTGGGTGGAATCAAGCCCGCAGGGGTACATCACAACCTCATATCTGAGAAACATCGTTCTCGATCGCCGCAGCTTAGAGTCACTTCGTTTGTACATCAACGTACAGGATGCATAGCCTCGTGTTGTTCATTAAATCGCAAGTGTGTACACTCTCGGGTATCATATGTACTCATCAACGTCCAGGATGACTTGATGGCGGATTGCCCCGGGTTCTCTTTCTAAACTTTTTCTTTCCTTTGGCAAAGACATTATTGCAGCGTCGGAAGCCTGAAATATTACATTGAAAGCTCGACTGGGCCACGAGCTACCGGAATGATTTGTGCTTTAGCGGGCTCGCCCCTGACGGGCCCAGCACTGGACCGTTGCCGCGGTGCCGTCCACCGCGCATGTTGGGGGTGTTGGAGCAGAAGGCACAGATATATACACTCGGAAGGGTCCTCCGCGAAATGTTGATGCAAGGGCCGTGAAGCCACATCTCGCAGGATTCGCTAAGAATGGTCAGCCAAGTCGATCACCATAACCTTCGTCAGACTTACCATTGAACCATGTACTCTCCTGGCCTGTCAGCGTTGTTCCTGCAAACGCAGCGCACACTGTAGGTGGCTTTTGTGGGCGAAGGCAAGCTGGCCTCGGTCAGGGCGCCGGGCGACATTAGACCTCCTTGGAAGTTCCCAACAAAGCTGCCAGAGGCAAACCGGCTGGAGCGCTGGCTGCTGAGAGCCTGGGGCCCTCGCTTCTGGCGGCTCTCAATCAACTTGCGCAGTTCGCTTGCGGCGTCGCCGCCTTTTCCGTGGTTATCATTCATCACTGTCTCTGCTTCGCTCTCGGCGTCGTGTTGTGAAGTTGATGCACCATGACTGCTTGAGCTGTGTTCGCTCATGCTTCTGCGAGACGAATGGAACATGGAAGACGAAGTAGGCTTGCGAGGATCAGGGAGAGCAAAGGATGTGTTCCGGCTGGGAATGATGATGGGCTCGTCATCTGTTGAAGAATCATCGTCCTCGGAATCCCAGCTCTTTTCTCTGCGCGGCATTTCCCTGGTGACGGGCTTCCTCTGTGCGCCATTGGATCCGGCATCATCAACAACGACGGTGGTCTCAGCTCGGGCTCTGCCTTTTGAGTCAATTGTGAACTTGACGGACGTCCGGGTACGGGGGCTCGATTCAGGGATTGACGTCAGGCTTGATAGCCGCGAGTGCTGCTGCTTCAGAGGTGATAATCTGCCTGAAGGTCGACTCAGAGGCCGACTAGGTCCTACTGCCGGACCATTATTGACCACAGGTCTGGGCTGGATGGCGGGAGCCAGCGTCGGCAGCGCCTTACGACGGCCACGGTTCTCACTAATGCTTCGTTGAAGACCGTTGGGGCGTCCCTGGGACTTGGAGGGCGAGCTTCCCAACATGTGGTCTGGCATTCTACTGGGTGCCAACTCCCTGGAACTGAGGGAACGGCGTATGTCCCCGCCGTGCATTGGTGCTCTTGATTGAGTTTCCGCAGCCGCTGCCAAAGCATATTGTGCGGACCCTTGTGTCACGGGGATATTGGTCTCCATATTCGAAGATGACGGTCGGCTGAAAAGCAGGCCCGGATCCACACCGGCGCCGGGGCTTACAATACCAAAAGGATCCTCGGCCGACGTCGTGAACGAAGCCATGGAAATATCCGCTGAGCTGGACTGGACGTTAGACGCAGGGGGCTTGGGAGCCAGGGGCCGGCTTCGCTTGACGGGCTGAGTATTTTCTTGACTATTTGCCGGCGGAAGGGGGGTTGTTTCCTGGAACATTTGTGAAGCGTCAAACGACGGCATGTGACGGTGGGTTGGCTGGAAAACATTAGGACCAAAAGAGAAATCAATGTCCATTGCCGACATGTCGGCGCCGGGGTCCCAGAAGCTGTTGGGAGCCGTTGCCGGCGCCGACATGGGATAGCCGAACATGTCGGTGGCAGTTACAAACGCCGCCGCCATATTCTGCTGTGGGGTCCCGGAAAAGTCTGGCTGGCCGTAGCCATGATCATTTTGCATATTGTCTGCCCGGAGCTTCGGCGCAAGTTTCCGCCCACCCTTGTGTGAAGACGGCGGAGGAGTGGCCGTTTGTCCGTTCAGATCCGCAGCTCCCTCTCTGTCTCCCGCCTGCTTCGGCGCTCCTTGTGAAGCCGGGCTCGGGCTGGCTGGTCCGTCTTTCTGGCTGGGAATTTTGTGTTGTTGTTCGGTCGAGGTTTTGTGGGAAGAATTCAGTCGTTGAGAGATATCAACCGGCGGCAGAGGTAAGCTCGGGTTGGGCGAGAGGTGATTAGCATGGGATGCTATCTGAGCAGCGAGGCTCTCGGCAGACAGGGGTCTTTTCAGGCCGGTCGAAGGGGGATATGAGGTCGATGCGGAGGAAAACTCGGCAAAGGGGGTTTGGGAGCCTCTCAAGTTGCCGGGAGTGGTGTTGAAGACGGAGTATTCCTCTGCGAAACGAGGAGTCCAGCCGCCAGCGTCGTCGAAGTGGCCTTGTCGTTGCTTTGGGGTTTCGAAGACGGGACTCGGGAAAACGGCGGAGGTTGGGGTCTGTTTGGGCGTGGGCGGCTGAGCGTTTGGGTTTCCAAAGCTGCACAAGACAATGTCGAGTTAGCAAAAGTGTTTTGAGGCAGAGGTGCGGCCCTGTTGATCATCCTGCGGCCTGGTGGAAGGCAGAAGACCAACGTGAACGGGGGTGGATTGGTAGGTAGAAATCTTGCCTGGAAGCCAGCTGATCCCCACTCATAGCAATTCTACTGTACTTCACACAACCCTAACTCGGACATGACAGAACCACCTGTGCAAACGGAATTATCGAGTGTCGATGGTGCAGACGTAATCTCTGCAGGTCGAAATGTCAGAAGCAAGTGGCAATGGCCTTGTCGGAGTGACGGAGAGGCAGGCGCAGGGCTTTCGAAGTCTGGGCTCGTGAACGGGGGGCGTACGGGGCCGACGGGGCGTGTCAGGCGGGGGCGGCTTCAGGCTCGTATATCATTGATCATTAAAGAAGCTCGTGGGGCCGTAGACTCATGAGAATAGCATTACACTGGAGGTTGAATGTCCGAGTGAGCAAGAGAGTTGCCTAGGATTCAAGGCCGGGGGGTTGGGAGGTGCAGAAGGGAAACGTTGCGTAGGGAGGACCGTGAGATGCGGTCAGGAGACGGAGGGAGACGGAGCAAGCGTACCAGCAGAAGACGGGTTACGGAAGCAGATGAAGATCTAGTCGTCAGGATCGTAAGACAGCAAAGCAGAGCAGAGCAGAGCAGAGCCTTGTCTTTCAGTGAGCGCTTCCAACAGAGCGCAGGTTGCAGCGGAGGCGGCACGAGAGGAAGAGGAGAGAGAGGAAAGGAGCGTCCGGGAGCCAATCGTTAACCGTGGAAGGGGAATGGGAAAACGAGATACCAGTCAAGAGAAATGGTGGTCAGTATGTGAGTGTCCAACAACCTAAGGTAGGTAGTAATCGAAGTACCTGCAGCATGGGAGAGTAGCACTGCACTGCTGGTACGCCGGTACGCTGGTACGTAGATGAAGCTAGGCAGAGACGGTCTTCCCTCGTTGGAGACTCGTTGGAGGTTGCTAAAAAAAATTTGGCCCTCGGGATGCATCAATGTACCTCGAGTTAAGGGCCGTCAGAGTACGTATCCATTGAGAAGGATGTCTTCATTGGCGGAAGACAGCACTGTCCAGCAGAGCACAGCGCAGGCTGCGTGACGGGAGCGCTGGTAATTCAAGGCAGAGTGCGGAAACAGGCGTCTTCATCACCCGTCCTGCTAGGGGTCCCCTGGGTGCCAGCGGTGCTAAATGGACACTTCAATTAAAGAAAACGACCTGACGTTCCTCTCGGCTCCCGGGGCCTTGTCAAAAGCCACATGCGTCGGCTTCTTCGAGTCCAGAACACTTTGACAACTCCCTCCGTCTGTGTTGTATGTCTTCTCTACGAAGTACTGACGTTGACAAGACTAAAACGTGTCAGGCCCAGCAGCAGGGAGGTTGGAAGGGTCCAAGATGGTGTTTAGTGTCTCGAGCATCCGGGCAACGTGAGGTCAGGCTGCTCTGATCGCTGGGCCGGCGCGGGTGCACTGACGGCCAGCAGTGTTCAGATGGATGCCAGATCCAGCGAGCCGTTTCTCGCACAGATGCTGCCGTGGCTGCTTTGCGGTGGCAGGATGTCCAGCTGGTTTCTCCTTCGGGCGGCGCCAGCGCTTGTTCAGGTATTCCAGGGTTTCAAGGTTTGGCAAACACGGGATGATGGGCCCAAAGTAAGCTTCGACTGGCCCGGATGGCGCTGAACATGGCGTCTTGGTCGTCCGAGCTACTGCTATCTGCGCACAAGACCAACCAACCTACACATGGCACCGCAGGTATTGGATGCGGAGAGGAACGTTGGAACGCTCCATGCGCACATCATCCTCATGCAGTCCAATGTCCTGCAATGGCGCAATATGCATGGTTGGGCGGGAACCTCGTGCTGAGATACATACCTGGCCAGGACAGCGGCTAGCTAACACCAAGGTACCGTTTGTTACTGCTGAGGCTATTGCGATAGAGCCCAGCCGATGGTGGGATGCGATGAACTCTAGGGGCTGAAGAAAGGGTTGCTTCAAGGATGTTCCTGCGTGGCATGGACTTGTCTCGGTGCTCGAGGTTATCTGCGCCTGAAATATGCAAATCAGCAGCTGTCGTCTAACGAAACGAGTATGCCCTGGCATGATGTCGACCTGATTTGTTCTGATTCGGCATATCCCTTCCACATGCACTCAGAGGCTTCCCTTTGGAGACCGATATTCCAGCCTGGAAGACCACTGGAAGCCCATGCACAACCAAAGCAATTCATGGAAGCCACGGAAGACCAGTTGCCTCAGGTTCAGGCCCGTTTCTCATTAGTCAGGGCCCTATTCGAGTTGCTTAGGTGGTTGCTGGTTGCAACGGCTCGGCTACGGAGCAAGCGAAATATCCTAATGTGATGGCGGAAAGGATCTTAGGCAGAGCCATGCAAGGTACTTATCCAAACGCAGCGTCATCTTTCATCGTTGCTGCAATGTACTATGTAAGGCGGGGAAAGTTGAGCAGGGAGAGGTATTGGAGAGTCTTCTCCGAAGACAGGGACACCAGAGATGGAAGAAAAAGGGACGGCTTCACAGCACCAAGCCCGACTAAGGTACGCTGTGAATCCATGTACGGTAGGAATGTCTAGGCATGCGACACCAGGCCGGGCGAGCAGCCACTCACTCCACTGCCCACTGCAGATGTGCAGCGGCCACTGGCGATGACAACTGCAAGTGCTGCAAGTGCTGCAAGTGGCAGCTGCCAGAGGCCACTCGTTCTTGGATAGCTTCAACCGTGCCTGTGCCTGCAGGGCCATGACATGACGGATTCGACAGCGCACCTTCTAGGTACCTTAGATGCACGTCGTTTGGTTTGATGCGGTAGTGAATGACGGCAGGCTCTTGCAGATGCCACTGCAGCCCTGCCAGTGAAACACCAGCTCCTCTGGATTCTCCATCACGAACATCTCCCGCAGTCAACTACCTGATTGCCATCATCACCGGTCCATCCATCCATTCCACATCCTTCAGAGACAACCCGGCAACCCCTCCGACAAGACTTTCGACTGGCTGCCACCAAGTCCCGAAGCATGTAAGCGGCAGGTGTGAGTCAACGCGGCGCTGCGCTACCACCAGACTAGCCTCGTTGGTGCTTCTCCCGCAACGCACCGGATCGCAAGGCATGTGTGCATGTGTGCGCCAAGGAGATAGGGGAGCAGAGGGCTAGCACTATGTAGCTCTGGACTGGACTGGACTGGAACTCGTTCGAGCTGCCGTGTCACTCCCCCGCTATTGGGCCATGATGCCAGCTGATACCACGGTGGTGATGCCACCTTTGCTCACCAATCTGTTACCCTCTCGGGCATTCTCGCCCTCACCAAGATGAATAAGGCAAAGTAAGCCGCCGGGAGATCCCCACTGTTTCGAGGCCAGCTTCAACAGCCTGCAGCTGAGTCCGGCAAGGGGTCGTGCTTTAGTGCACTGAAACCTCGTGGAATCGACGTTAGGATCTCCCAACTCCAGATCGATCGGTTGTCTCTCCAACAGACACAAATGACGGGAAAGCAGATCAATCACCCGCAAATCAGTCGGTCGCCGAAGCCTCTGCCCGGAATCACGAGCCTTGCCTCCGTCTCGTCTCCCACTTCCCTTCGCTTCGTCTGGAGTTTCAGACGGTCAATGGACGACAACCGACTGCCGAATGGAGCGCTGGCCAGGGACAGACCAAGACACTTATCGACTACCTATTCAAGGGCTGATATCGGCGGGTCTTCGTGAAGCCAGCAGCGCACCATTTATTCGGTAGCTGAACTTTGACATTCCCTTCGATATCGGGGTTTCGGCGAGAACCCAAGAGACCAATTATGCGTTGTCAAGAAACATGTCTGAGCCGTTTGGTGACGAGGCAATGGTCCCTTGGCTCCCACCACAAGCCCGTGTCCCGCAACAGACATCATACAGTCGGCGCTCGAGGTTGGCAGCCCTTCCTGTCGCCCTGTTTCGGTCAAGCCCCTTGGATGCCCGGCAGAGGCTGCGGCTCTCTCGCCATTGCAGATTGACGGCGTTGACTGCACGACATGTTCGCATGGTCGGATGGGTCTGCGGGTGCAAACGCCAGCAGCTACGATGTTGTCTCAGTCTCGCCAATTCACGACACTGCCAAGACCTCGTCATCCAAGTCAACACTTGTTTCCTCTCAAGTTTCGAGCCGAGCGGCAGATCAATCACGCACGGCGCCTCGCCAGTTTTCTCGGAAATATTCCCGACTGCTCGGAAACCAAAGTGGACAGTGAGCGCATTTCCTGATACGAATCTTGTCCTGACACAGGCTACCCGCTGCGATTTCCGGAGACGATGGAGTATGCACTCAACAGCCTCGATGCGTCAAATGCCTGCGGCAGAGTCTGGCAGTGTTCGTAGGGTTCTTGTTACCTAGGACAGCTTAGTTGTGGCTTTTCTAACTTTCAACGTTCGTTTCCATGGCTGAGGGGACTGCTTCTACGTTTCCAGTCAATCTGTGTGGGCGGCCTTTGTTCATTGCCTTGGTAAACGCCACCGTCGTTTCTCAGACGCCTAAACATCAAGGTTGTCAATAAGCATGCGGCTCAGAGGGATTTGCGGTGCATCAGAATGCATCTCAGGCAAGCAGACCGATTCACCTACTGATATACCATCAGACGAACTCTCCTTGCGGAGCTTACCGGTAAAAGGCCTCTTCCGCTACCGAGAAAGCCTTAATACCAAACGAATTCCCAGCGCGGCTGATAGTCCATTTGACTGCGGTTCACTTTGATCGGACGACATGGTCTGAATAGTCGTACGTCAAGGCTAACAAGGACTGAAGGATGCAGATGATATCTGCACCGTCAGCCACTAGTGAGGGGCAAAGCTGCTCTTGAACTTACTCCCACCAGACCGATTCCCTAATTTGGCAACTGCTTCGCCGCTTCTGCGGCCTCCAACAGGGGCCCTTTCAGCCCCCCGCATGCACCCATACGCTTAGATACGGATGCCAACGATGGTTGTCATTTCGGAATAATTCCAACAATGCCGGTGAAGACATGCTGTTGAACAATCAAAACGCCACAGATGCAGTGTTTTTTCAGCTCACTCCAATCAAGAAGCGGATACCGGCTTCAATGACGGGTTGCTGTCAACTTCAGGGGCTGAAATAGCCTGCTGCAAGAGGTCCTGTCGGCCAAAGATCGACTGGCGGAGATCAATCGGCGACACCTGCAGAGTCCCCAACCGGCGTCTTGCAAGCACGTGTGTCCCCAGCTCACGATTGGCTCGATTGGCTCGTCTGGCGTCGAACAAGTCGTTTCTGATGCTGCGGCTGCAAGGGGGGTTTAAGTGGTTGCAGCAACATGCCATTTGGTGGCCCACGAGCGGCTCCCATTGTCTCTGTGCAACTGAAAAGTACCAAAAACTCATTACATACATAGTACTCAACCGCGTACGCCCGAATTGACTTCTCACCACTTTCGCGAATTCCATGTCCGCCCGAGACGCCGCAGCATCACCCAAGACCTCGGTGGCAATGCTGAGTTTCCGCCCAGGACCAGGGCGTGAGGCCAGTCCCAACTCTGTTCCCAGTCGTTTGCGTCTGTGAACAGCAACACCCCTTTTTCACGTGTCTGGCATATCCCGTCCTTGTTCAATTCCCTGGCGCTTGCCAGAATCCGGATACGACCTCAACTCGCGCAACATGTGGACATGATGGGGATGGAGAAGGATGAGGGCCATCAGAACCACAAACTTGGAACCGAGGCCGTCCCCGGTCCATGCAGTACTCCGCCGTAGGGCAAGAATAAGCACGATCGTCTGCGTATCATGGCGGCCTGCCGCAAAGGGAGAGACGGTCTCTGCGGTGGCCGGCCCCGGGTACATATTGGCGGGGTCACCCAGTCGAGACGCATGAATTTGGGAGATTGCACACGCCCCCGATGCCTTTTGTTCTACTCGTGGCACACGCCGCTAAGAGAGAAAAAAAAAAAAAAGTGCTCTTTGGTCTTGCCCAAAAGATCTTCTTCCGGGATACCCGTCGAATCGAAACAACCGTAAAAGAAAGCGACAGGCGCGTGGTAAAGGTTTGAGTGTTATTCTTGGGTGAACCCGGGATGGCGTGGACGGCCTCCTCCGGCGAGAGGGGTAGCCGGCCTGGGTCTCCGACGCCGAGCTTTCGCCCGGCCGCCCGCCCGCATCCCCAGCCAGGTACCGTGCCGCCGTCGAAACGCTGTTGCAGCCCAACATATGGCATTCTTGACTTGACCACTCTTGTCACGCAGCTGGACGGCCTACCCCGATCGTCCAAACTCGTCCAGAGAGTCAGTCAGTCGCATTAACCGCCGTCAACCCAACTTTCGCAGACAAGCTGCCGCCGTTGTGTTTCCGTAGGCGCATATCAAGGTCCATGTCGATCATGTCGGAAGCCCTCTTACAGGACCACAGACGCGCAACACCTCTCCCATGAATTCAAAAGCCCAAAACATCCAAGCCCCCAGCTCGACCACCTTTGAAAGAGGAGAAGTAGAAAACACCTCAGAAAGGCACCCACATGGTGTTGAGGTACCACTGCCCTGCTTCATGCCTTATCCTTCGGTGACGGGTAACCGAAGCGAACAAGACCTGTATCTGTATATCCTCCGCGCAACTCCTACTTGCCGAACCCCGTCCTCGTCGTCGTCTACGAAGTATTAACCTCCCATCCTCACCGGGCAGGCCGGGTTCCTGGCTTGGCTCCATTAGTTTCGTTTGGTTCCTGGTCCGATGTCCTCGTTTACCCCTGGCTCTATCTATTTCCCGGCCATGACAGGCCTGCCGCCCACCCACTTGCCTACCTGCCGCGTCCTTTTCTGCCCGCATGAGAGGCGTGTCCGTCTACGCCCCCCTTTGGATCCTTG